TTATTGGCGGCCATTACCTCAGCGAGGAGACGCCCCGGGAAACTGGCGACGCGCGCTCCAAGGCATGGCCAAGGGCCTTCCGGCCTAGAAGCCTGACTTCGTTTCGAGGTTTATTGATATAGACCCCTCCGGACTAGAGCCCCACCCAGGGTGGATTATAAGCAAGTAAAAGGCTTGGGTCCGTTCGCCCTCCGTAGTGGACTCAAGGCCCCATTTTAGACTTGATAAATTCTCAAAAGATGGCTTGTTGACACTTCCAAGTCCAAAAGAGGAAAGTTTCCGGAAATTTGAGATTAGTCTTTGGTGGCCAGTACCTCAGCTCTCCGGGGGTGCCCGTTGTCACGGGCGACGGACATGGAGAGCCCTTGACCTCCTCTTTCGAACGCTCCAGTCTGTGACTGTTTAGCTGCGTGCGGAGCTGAGCTACAGGTTGCCAAAGTTCGAGAAAGAGGCCAACTTTGAGACCGCATAACTTTTGACTGCAAGGGCGCCCGGTGTCACGGGCGACGGATCGAGGTAGAGCCCAGCCTCCTCTCATTATCCCCGAAGTCCGTGACGACGGGCGCCCTTGCAGTCAAAAGATATCATGCTCCAAAATCGTACTTTTTTCACGCAACCCCTCCTATCGGAGCTCATGTCGTTTGTGAAAGGCGAAGCGATGACGAGCCGGAAGTAGGAAAGTATTCAAACCCCGTTCGGAATGCCCTCCCGTATCGCCCGATGTCCGCAGCATAACAAAAGAAAAACCGTCGCGCGAAATCGGAACGAGACGAAGAAGGTCCGATAGATGGGCCCCAGTGAAACACTCTTCCTCGGCATGCTCTAAACCTGTTATTTCCACAACATTTTCTCCTCAGCTTTTCTCAACCTTTTTTTATTATAGTCCTGCTGGTAAATCTACTTTAGCGCCGGCGGCAAAAAGGCACAAACGGAGAAAAGGACCCAAGTTGTGCCTGGGCCGCGGCGCGGTACATCCACATCCCGAATGAGCCCGATTGTGCATCCTACGCCACCGCACCCCAAAAGGCTTCCCCGACGAACGCGACCAAAGTGCCAAAGTCCCTAGCGCCCCGTACTTGCACGAGGGGGTCAAGCGCAAAGCGCACAACCCACTCCCGCGGCATGGCACCCGGGTCCTTTTGTCCGGGAGCCAGCCTTTGGAACCGACTAGTCGGGCATACCCTCTTGGGCCAGCCCCACCCAGGGTGGATCTTAAGCAAGCAACCTACCTATTCTCCCATTCCCATAAGTGTTCAAAGAAAGGGTTGCGGCCCCCTATCGGGGCGTTGCTGCGCAAAAAGAGAAGGCAGCGCGACGGGCTAAGAGTCCAACGAACGACACGGGCGGGAAACTGCTAGATTAAAACTCAGATTAAGAACCAGGTCAGCTTAAGAACCGACGGCGCGACGAAGGTCCTGCGGAAGATCTGGCTGGCCGACGAGTAACCACGTGCAGAGGTGGTAGTGCGCGTCGGCGTTGCCGCGGTTCACGTGAATCATCGAGTTCGGCGTCGGTGTAGTGCCCCAAGGCTCGGCAGTGCGGGCAGAGATGGGGCACCTTCAGCCATGATGCGGCGCAGAAGACGCACAGGTACTGCATGCAGCACAACTCGGCACACGCGTCACAGTCACACTGGGCGCGAAGAGCCAGAGGCGCGCGCGCGCGCGCCGCCCCAGCCGCAGGAGCGCAGGCACCGACGCGCAAGGACATGCAGCTTACCTGGACGGGAGTGACACCGAGTTCCGACGTCAGCGGGTCCGTGCAAGCCAAGCACCGAACGCGATTGGAAAGCGACGGAGCTGCTTCGAGGGCGCGATAGCGAGCTTTGCGGTGCATCCTCGGTCGCCGCAGAACGGCACGCCGTGGCTCTGGAACATCGAGACGGGCGCACTGCAGGTGCAAACGACGACGCTGCGGCCCCGCTGTTTTTTTTTCCACACTTCCACAGACCCGCCCACGCCGGCGCCGAGCTTCGGCGCGCTCTACGGCCCCGCGGCGGGCGCGCCGTAGACGGCGCCTTGGCCCCTGCGGAGAGGTATCATCCGCGCGTTCTCACTTGACGGCCACGCGCGTCATGACGGCGTGGTGGAGCATCGTGAGGTTCTGGGACGCCGCGACGGAGGCGCTGCAGCATACGCTCAAGGGGCACACCTACAACGCCTTCTGCTGCGCGTTCTCACTTGACGGCCACGCGCGTCGTGACGGCGAGCTGGGACGGGACCGCGCGGATCTGAAACGTTGAGACGAGCGTGGTGCAGAAGACGCCCCGGGACCACAACTACAACGCCTTCTGCTGCGCGTTCTCGCCCGACGGCAAGCGCATCGTGACGGCAGGTGCCAACGGGACAGTGCGGATCTGGAGCGCCGAGACGGGCGCGCTGCTGACGACGCTCGAGGAGCACGCCGCTCCGTCAATTGCGTTCACGCCCGCGAGGTAGCCATAAACAAAAAAATAAATATCTCAATAAGAAATTAAAAATAAAAAAAAAGATAAGGGGGAATTGATAAAAAAACATCGATCATGAGACTCGAACTCATAACCCTCAGATTGACACGCCTTTTCATTGATGAATTGGTGTAGAAGTCTGATACGCTATCCTTTGCGCCAGACCGATGTACCACATTATGAACGCTCGCTAAAAATTGATCTTTGTTCACTTTGGTGACATTGATTTTTGGATTGTATTCATAAACCGCATAACTCGAAGATCCGACAGTTATCGTGTCACCTAGGCTGGCAATTTCTTCTTCTTCTTCTAGGAATCCTATTATGCACGCAATTACTTTGTTTTTGATTACTAGGATTCCTAGTAGGGATTCCCACTCCGAGGTAAAGAAATCCGAGGTAATTGCGTTACTCCGCAAGCCAAAAATCCAGCGCGCGGCGCGCTGCGGTCCGTATTACTCGGCAAGTGCGAAAACGACTTTGCTTCTCCCCGACTTTTGAACGACTGGCTGTGAATTCCACTCGACTTTGGCGAAAACGAGGGCCTGCACGACATGATCGCCGACATTCGCGCCGACCATCCAAAAAAACTTCAAATGCTCGGCCGAGTGGCGTGCTAGGCTCCTAGTCGCTCAGAGGGCACCTAGAGAGCTCTCTTGCGCCCTAAAGAAGATTTGGGGGGGGCAGTAACCATTTTGGCGATATTACTGCATATTACTGCCATGCCCAGGAATACCGAGTAATTACGCGCCTTCCCGGTAAAACCCCGGGTAATTGCCAGCCTAGCGTGTCACAGTCACACGGCTGGTTGGAGAGAGAGGTTTTCAAGATGGTGCGCGTGAACACACGTTTTTCACGTGAGCTCGTTCGCCGAGCTCTCCGAGCTTGTAGGTGGGCAAAGACAGTGTAGAGGATTGTGGGCCCCTGTTTTTACAGTAATTGCAGTGTAATTGCTGTTACAGTGTAAAGTGAATGTCATATTTTTAGAGGCGCTTAAACGAGGCGCAATGGGGCTGAGCGCGAGCGGGAGGCTCCGCTGAGTCGCCCCGGCCAACTGACGAGCTCAAATACGAGGTGTGGCTCTGCATGCGCATGTTTTTGGGGTGAAAGTCCAACTTTTGTTCAAACAAGTGGGGAAAAGCCACAATTTCGCGATGCAAGGCGCCCGAAATTCACAAATATCGATGGATTTAAGAAGTATTTTCAAGGGCATTACAAAAGCAAAATTTGGGAATCGTGTATTTACATGTAGTTACATGTAATTACATGCAAAATCAAATACAGTTTTTACAAATTATTTTACAGTGCCACCTATATCCGAGCTGGACGACCTTCTGTGCTCTGTACGCGCCCGTAGGCGCCCATAGTGTCCTGGGCCGCGGCCCTGGAACGATGGGCGGCCTCGGCTGTGAGGGGCGCGCAGTTCCACCGTTTGGACAGGGAAACGGGCGGTGCGATCAGAGGCGTGCCATTTTGTATAAAGCCGGCGCGTGCCTTTTGGTCGCAGCACAAGTACTCCACCTGGTACGAGCTGCTCTTACCGGACATCTTCAATATGTGGTTCGATGCGCATTTCGGCGCAGCTCGCACTGCCTCGCAGGGTACGAGATTTATCTCGTGAACAGCATCTAAACTTTGAGCAGCCAAAGGCCCCGTACTCGAAGACGGATACCGGCGCTTACCTGGTACACGTTCAAGGCCCGGCTGCCGGGCACGTCCTGTGTGAGAGGCTTTCACGACGGGAGATTTTCCCCGCGCGCCGTCTGGCCGATCCAACTCGTCGACTATCTGAAGACGACCGCGGTCCACCCGCCGGCGCCAAAGCGGGCCCGCGAAACCGACGCCGGCGAACCATCGCCGAGCGCGGTGTCGCTCGCCGAGGCCACGGCCCAAGCCGCAGCTGCGACTGCCGCCGCCACGGCCCAAGCCGCGGCCCAAGCCGAGGCCCACGCCGAGGCTCAGGCCGCCAGCAATGCCGCCGCGGCGCAACTCTGGTGCGACTCTGCAATCCGAAAATGCTGCCCCAAATGGGCCTGGGCCTGCCGCGGGTGTGCATCCTCCTATGGGACCCCGCACGCACCCTTGGAACGCAGGTATCGTAAGGTGCTGCCGACCCCGCTGCCCGAGGCGTGCGCGAACTCGTCCTCCGAGCCGTCGAATCGCGAGAAACGACTGTCCAACGGCTCATCGTTCATCATCGAGATCGACGCGCGCGACCTGGAAAAGCCGCTCTCGTTGGCGGACAAGTTCGTCCTGTCGCAGGAGATCACGTTGGGCAGGAACCCGTTGCACGTCCGCGTCGTCCGACAGCGCCAAAGCGCCTCCTTGGGCTCGCGGGCGGAGCTCCAGCATGCCAATCAGGCGATTGCCGCGGTGCGCAATGCCGGTGCCAACGACGTCGCTGCTGGGCTGGTCGTCATGTCCGAGCGCGGCGGCGCCGCGGCGTTCAAAGAAGCCGCGGGGTATCTTGGCGTCGTCGTCCTCAAACATATGGAGGGGTTGACGGGCCTGCAGGTGAGCCGCATGCTTGCCTGGCATCTTGGGCGAACGCACACGGGCCTGTAGGTGATGAGCGCGGTCGGCCTGACATGGGCGCAATACCGCATGATCAACAGCATGCTCGTGGACAAATTTGGCATCCCCATCCTGGCAAGCGAGGTCGACGTGCGGAGGGAGATTAAGCTCGACACGGCCACGCCCATCGAGTGCGGCGAGGCGACGGTGGAGGACCGGCACGGCGACGAGCGCCAGTGCGCGTTCATGCGCGTTCTCGACCTTTGCGACGTTGTCGAAAAGGAGGTCGGCGCGCTCTTCCAAAACGACATGTTCAACAAGGAGATGGACGCCGACGGCAGCCCCTATGCGTGGAAGATCAAGTACATGTGCGACAAGGGTGGGCGTAGCTTCATATTTGCCGTATCCGTACGTGTCTATTTTCGGTCTGGATCGTCGCAGATTTCGCAGTTGGAGAGCGGCGCCAGAGGCCAGGCGGGCGCTGGGGGGGCTCAACCTCGTGATGCGCGACAACCTGGTGATTCTGGAGAAAGGATTTGATTTTTACCGCGTAGGTCTCCGTCATGAACGCCAAGGAGCCGAACTCTCCCAAGCGGTGCGTGGTGCTCTGCGACTTTTAAGGCCTCGACAGCCACGCCAACCTGAAGAAGATGGTCTTCGACGTCTTCGGCGGCGCGATGGACGCGGTGATAGACATGACGATGCTGATCCTCGAGTGCGACGGCAAGACGGTCGCGAAGCTCGTCCCGTCTTTGTGCTCGCTCGTCGCCGTCGGCACGACGAGGACGTTGCCGTCGCCCTTGGCTCCTGCCACGCCTCCGTCGACGCCGACGCGCACAACAGTCGAGGCCGTCGTCGACACCGGCTGCGTCAAGGACTTGGACGGCGCCGCGTTACCGGCGCCGTCGTCTTCTGCGACCGCCGACGTCGGCGAGGATGGCACGTGGGCGCTGATCTTCGAGCGAGGCGCCAACGGCACGGGACAGTGCGTCGGCGTCGGGTACTACGAGGCTTTTTCGGAATTGTGCACGTTTTTCAAGTTTCGTGTGGCGCTCGCTGTCCCCGCCGAGGCCATCGTCACGGTCCACGCGCGCTCCATGCTCTCGTTCCACTGCGGCGACTACGCCTACCTCTGCGCGCTCGTCGGTCGTCAAGTCAAGGTGGAAGGCCAAAGCTGCATCCTTACTGCCACGTCATTGGCCGAAAACATTCTGTCGGGCAGTTTTGCCAAGTTCTCGGCCGCGGCTCCGCACGAGTGCCGGGTACGCTCCATCGGCGGCATGCATGCCGACGCGGCAAAGCTCAAGGCCTCGGTAGGCAAGGCGAAGGACGCCCAGGACTGCAACAGCATCACGCACGCGTCGCTCCTCTCGGCGCGCTGGGACGTTGGCATGTTGGCGCCGTCGTTTCTGCATTTGTTCCTCGGGCCGGCGTGCAAGCTCTGGAAGCTCGCGGAGGGTGAGCTTCGATGCGAGGTCGACGGTCTCAGCGCGGCCGTGTGCGAACGTTTAGAGGACGTACGGAAAGTCAACGAGTACATGGTGGGCCTCGACGACGACGTCAAGTGCGTCAAGCAGGATATCGCTGACAAAGCTGCGGTGAGCAGGGTCTTTACGGCCAAGCAGCGCGCGCTGCTTGTCGGCGACGGGCGCGGCGGTGGTTCTGTGGCGGCTCTGAACGTGTCGCAGCAGACGGCCTGGGAGACGTTCGGCGTCGCGGCCGCAGACTGAAAAAAGGCGCAGTCGCTGGGCGTGCTGTGCAAGGCCAACGACGTGGAGCTGGCGTCGGCCAAGACGCGGCTCAAGGATTTCGAAAAGGACCTCGAGAATTACCTCGTGCAGTGGGCCGAACTGAATTTAGACCTGCCCACCACTGGCGAGGCTGAGAAGGCGCTTGAGTCGTTCCTCCTCTCCATCAAGGTGTGCCGGCAGGCTTACTTTGGCGGGGCATTCGTCGGCGGCCACGTGGAGAAGCTGCTGAAGAACCTCCCTGCTTTGTGGGCTGCGCTGCGCAAAGCTGCGTTCAAGATGGACCCGCCTCCCCTGAGGCAGCTCTTCTTCGTGGCCGCCTCGGTGGCGGGCCTCGACGGCGCGGCGCTGTCGTCGGAGCCGTCGGTGCCGCGGACGCAGCGCCGAGCCGCGACGACGCCCGCTGCTGCGCGCCCGGTCTTGGCGTCGCCCGCCGCGCCGTGCTGGAATTGCAAGAGGACCCTCGAGAGCACCATTGCCGTCGAGGCCATCATCGCACGGATGCAGCCCGTGTGGGAACACTTTGAAAAGTTCCACCACGAATGCCGGAAGACCAGGCTGCTGACGGACGAGGAGATCGAAGCGCTCTGCAAGGCCGCCACGGGCTTCGTCGACTGCGTCCGCGTGTCCTACCCAGACAACAATATCGAGCTGAAGCTGCATTTGATCGAGGCGCACGTCCCGCAGTACGTGCGGAAATGGCGCAGCGCGGGGCTTTCCCTCGAGGACGGCATCGAGCATTTGCACGCCGTGGACAACCGCCTCAGCCGCCGCTTTGCGTGCCTCCATGGCGCGCGCAAAACTCGGAGCAGAAGCGAGGCGCTCGTCATCTTCCAACGCCCAGACCTGGGCGCTCTCTCTGCGTCGCACCTCAGCCGGCGCCGCCGCCGCTTCACCACGCCGCGCG